ATTAAATTTATAATGAATCCTAATAGAACTGAAAACTGATAAAGGAAAATTTGCCCAAAGTCTTCCAGAATGTAATTACAGTTTACAATGAAAAATGACAATTTCCTTTATGTGTATATTTGTGGTATTTTGTTTTATTTTTATTAGCATATTCATTATTACAAATCAGTGTCTATATGTGTAATTCTTGTTTATGCCTCTTACCCAACCAGTCACTCCCAACCTCCCTCCCTTCCACTTACCCATCTCTAGTATCCTTAGGTTTGCTCTCTCCTTTTGAAGGTTCAACATATTATTGTGGTTTGTCTCTTTCTTTCTTTATCTTTCTTTCTCCCTTCCTTTCTTTCTCTCTTTCAATCTTTTTTTCTTTCTTTCTTAACACCCAGTTATGAGTGAAGACATGCAGTATTTCTCTTTCTGTGTCTGGCTTATTTCACTTAACATAATTTTCTCCAGGAATAGTCCAATTAAAAAATGGGCAAAGAAAATGAATAGACATTTGTCAAAGGAAAATATACAAATGGCCAACAGGTACATGAAAAAATGCTCAACATCACTACTCATCAGGGAAATGCAAATCAAAACCACACTGAGATATCATCTCATCCAGTTAGATTGGCCATTAGTAAAAAGACCAAGAATAACAAATGCTGGTGAGGAAGTGGGGAAAGAGGATCTCTTCTACACTGTTGATGGGACTGTAAATTAGCACAGCCATTATAGAAAACAGTGTGGAGGTTTCTCAGACAACTACAGATAGAACTATCATGTGCTAAATGTTTTAAACAGGCACTGACATCTTGGGAAAAATATACCAACATCCCAAATTCAGTTCAGTGTCCGTACATGGCATCTGTCTGATGATCTTACATCACAGCTTCAAATCTATTTTAATTCCAATGAAGTTTACTTCAGTACTACTTTGGCCAGCCCTGTTCCTTCATCATCATCCAGAAGCATGTTTCTTCTGTTATTAACTACTAGTAGCCTCTTTCCTGATCATAAATATTTATGTCCTAAATTCCCTCATTTTCACAGTAGATTTATTTGACTTTATTAAGGTCTTGCCTTACTTACTTCCTTTATTTTCTCCAAATCTCTCAGCCCACTCCTGACTCAATGTATATCTGAATCTAATCTAGATCACATGAACTATCATTCAAATTATGTTCTCACCAATTATACAAAGACCCTTTCTCTCTTGTCAATCCAATAGCACACAAAGAATATTTGTAAAACAGTTTTAGAAAGTCTTATAAATGGATTATATTGCATTTTCAAGACAAATCATTTTTCCCCTTCTTGTCAGTCAAGCAATTAGCCAATGAATCAGCCACTGGCAATCAATACTAATTGGTTCAGCATTTAAATGTTGAGTTCTTAAAATGCTCACTTTCTGCTAGCCACCATATGCTGCGAAGCCCTATTCATCATAACTTTTTGATAGATCTTTCCTCTATCCTCACTCCAGCTCAGTCTGGAGCTTTTTCTCACAATAGCTTAACCCCTTAGATTTTACCATCTTTTGATATTAAACACCCTTGATGTTCTCTGGATACCAAAAATTCTGTGTGCTGCTGCTTACTTGATAAATATGTGTTCATAAAAATGATGACCACAGTTAATAAATGGATTATTTCTCCAGGATTCAATTATCTGATAATAATTATATTAGCCAATCTTTACAGCACACTTTTTATAAGCCAGATACTTTCTAAGCAATTAGCAGAAATTTATTATTTAATTATCATACTAGGTAATACTATTATTATACTCATTTCAAAGAAGTACTGATTCAATATCATTGCTTATTTCCCTTAAGGGTCTCTGGATATTGAGAAAGGATGATATAATTACTTGGGTAATTGCTCCTCAGGGAACCTAACTCTCTCCTCATTATTCCATCCTCTGAACTTCTGATTGGCTTAAAAAGAGAGAATCAGGCTTCCAGCTTTAGGACTAGGAAGATACTAATGTCAAGGTGGCAAGGTCTTTCTGAAGTGAGCGTCCCAGTCCCACTCTGTGCTCAAAGGTCAGTCCATTGCGGTGAGGGCTCAAACCCAGGAACTTCCAGCCCTGCCTCCTGTAGCTGCTTCCACATGTGGTCTGAGTGTCAGTGAGGCAACGACAAGGGAGGAGCATGATTAATAGAAAGTTGTTGATTACCTGACTATGACTGAGAATGCCTGAGAGAGGATATAGAATGGGCGGAGTACTAACATTCACTGCTTGCTAAAAGCTCACATTAAATATTCAAAGTCCCTCTCTGGGGGAGGTATTAACATCTTTATTTTTTAAAACAGAAAAAAAAATGAATGTGCATGAAGGTAAAGTAGTTAAAGTTACACTGCACATAGGATTCACCTGCAATTTTGTCTAGGGGTGTAGTAATAACTGCATCACATTCACTTCTTCTTGCTGGTTTTTTGTGTCCTATTATACTGGGCTATAGGCTAAAGGATCCCTTTTGTCACCTCCCAGCCTGAAATGCTGTTGATGAGCAAATCCTAAAATCAGAAGAATGATTGCATTTTATGATCTCTTTCAAGGAGACCTGACCCCTATCTGGCTGGAGAGACTCGAGAGATGGTGATGCAAGGATGCAAAAATGCAAGAAAGATTGAAAAACAAAAAACAAAAAACAGAGTATGGAGGGGCACAGAATATGAGGGAAAAGAAAACCTAGTTTCAAGTGTGGGTCAAGATTTGTACCTTCCAATAGCAGGTCATTTGGGGTGTGGCAGGCAAGACACGGGATGCAATAGGATCAAGTGTTCAGTAAAGCAGCACACAGGAGGAACAGCTCAGTCCACAGGCAGAACAACTGCAGGTCCATGTAAAGAACCAAGAAGAATACGCCAAGCTTTTGAAGGTGATGAAGGAACATAGAAAAGGGCACAACAAATGGGGAAGAGATATTCCCCTGAAGGTCCACAGCCATAAGATGTTCTCTTATCTGTGCTCATTTCTTGAGGTCCATAATTTTTCTGTGAATTTTTCTACCCTGTTTTAACACAGCCCATAGCACAGAGCTTTTCCTAAGCTAATGTCTGATGAGTTAAATTGTTTTGGAGCATAGTAAGTGCCCAGGGATCCTGTATTTAGGTAGGCAATTAACTGTTTTACGTTTCTTTCTTTCTTTTTTTTTTTTCATTTTTTTCCATCCCATATTTTAATGAAATAAAATATTATTTAAAAATCAATGATTTCAGTATCCTAGTACACTAACATTTTTTCATTATCTTCGTGTTTTATTTCAGTGTTTGTCAAATTGCTGTCTTGTATACCCACTGCCATAATAATATTTTTCTTTTTTTTTAAATTTCCAACTACACTATACCCAACTTCTCCATTCAAAATGGAAAATTTCTACTAATTTCTCACATTCTTAGGAAAGCTTTTCCTGACTTCTAAGAATAAATTGGGTTTTCTCTCTAGGTCCCTCTCATGGTAGCCTGAAGTTCTTCTTTGCAGCACTTAATATAATTGTAATTATCTTGGAGAGAAAACTTCAGGTTATGAGATGATTCTATTTAAATATTTGTGGGAAATGTGTTCTTTGTAACCTGAGGTTTAAAGTTGCAGAGGGTTTTTGAGTAAGATCAGGACTCTTTGTTGCCTGAACCCTGCATGGTGCCTGACATAGATGAGTGCTGACTGATTATAGATCTTTAAGACCAAAAAACATATAATAATAATAACCAGCATGGAATGGTGAGGTCTCTTTTGCTGAGAGATTTCAGCCGTGGCTGCTTAGAGAGTACACATAAGGGAAGGTACAAACAGATTTTTAGCAAGTGGGGGAAGTTTGTTTGTGCATGTGCAAATAGGTAAGCAGGTATGTGTGTGCATGTGTGTTTGGGTGAATGTGTTGAAAACTACCTTCAGGTCCTTCCTACCTGACAGTCCAGGATTTTATTGTTATAACTGTGATGGCCTAAACAATGCTCAGCTCAAAACATACCCAATCTGGGCAGGTGGTTTTCTCCTCTCCTCTACTACCACCACCTTCTGCCTTGGAGAACATTCTTTAAAAATCTTTTTAGGTTCCCAGTATTGCTGCCACAGGATATTCAGCATGTGCCTGAACCAGAAAGAAAAGTTCCAATGGATAAGGTAAGTTGTTTTTCAGAACTGTGAGTCAAGAGATTATGGGTATCATCATGACAGAATATTTTCATAAACCTTAAAGTCTGGGTACAAATCCTCCAACAGGTTCCTGTCTCCTTCTTAGTCATGCAGTCCTTTGCACATACATGGGTATCATCATGACAGAATATTTTCATAAACCTTAAAGCCTGGGTACAAATCCTCCAACAGGTTCCTGTCTCCTTCTTAGTCATGCAGTCCTTTGCACATAATCTTTCTAGATTCTTCCTAGTCTTTTCAAAGCTCAGAATAGCTAAACCAGTATAGGTCCAAGCTCCACATCTTTTTAGTTTTCCTGTCACTTGTTCCAGGTTCTGGCCACTGTCACTAACTCAGCCTTGCTTTGGACCTGAATTATTCATGTAATTATACTCATTCATTGAGTATTTTTAGGTATTTTTTTACACCATGCTCTGTGCCTTGCATCTATATATCTACCACGAAAATCTGCTCATTCATTTATTCTCAACATTAGTTCATATCATATGCTGAGATTGCGTACACATGACTGTCTCCGCAACAGCTTTCTAGGGTGAGACATCTCTACACCAAAGTGAGACAGTCATTTCTCCCTCTGCTGATCCAAGGTGCACTACAATTTAGGAGCATAATCTTCTACCAGTTTAGAACCTTCTGATGATAGAGATTGTAACTCACTTTATACAGGAAAGTTCCTAGTAGTGGTCATTTGTCAGTTTTCAGAATTGAAATATTTGGCCACATGAGGCTGTGAGTTTATTTTCTCTTCCCCTTTCCTCAGTTCCTAGTGATCTTTCTTCATAATCATTTCATCTCACTAGTTTGTTTCTAATTTTTAAGGTGGCACCGATCCTGTCGGATGAGATTTCAGCATGAGGAATTCCAGTAGCTCTTTCTGGTTCTTACCTACCACATTCATTTTGGTTGGCATCCCAGGGCTGGAGGCTGAGCACATCTGGATATCCATCCCCGTCTGCCTGATGTACATCATCATCTTCCTTGGGAATGGTACCATTCTTCACATAATCAGAACAGATACTACCTTGCATCAGCCCATGTATCTCTTTCTTGCCATGTTGGCACTGGCTGAGGTTAGTGTCTCTGTGTCTACCTTGCCTACAATGCTGGGCATATTCCTTTTTGGAACTACTGAGATTAGTTTTGAAGCATGCGTCCTCCAGATGTTCTTCATCCATTCATTCTCCATTATGGAGTCAGCCGTGTTGCTGGCCATGTCTGTGGACCGCTTTGTGGCCATCTACAGCCCACTGCGCTATACAGCCATCCTGACACTGCCCCGCATCTTTGGCACAGGAACTATCATTGGGTTAAAAAGCATTATGCTCATGGCCCCATTGCCCATTCTCTTATGGCACCTGCCCTTCTGTGGCCATAATGCCCTCTCCCATTCCTATTGTCTTCACCCTAATCTCATACGTCTACCTTGTGGGGACATTTCTACCAACAATATATATGGGCTTTTCATTGTTACCTTCACTTTTGGGCTAGATTCATTGCTCATTTTGGTCTCCTATGGGCTCATACTCCATACTGTACTGCGGATCACCACTGGAGAAGGGCGAAGGAAGGCTCTCAGCACATGTGGTTCACATGTCTGAGCTGTGCTTGCTTATTATGTGCCTATGATTGGCTTGTCTATGGTGCATCGCTTTGGATACCATGTGCTCCCTCTGCTGCAAGCCATGATGGCCAATGCTTACCTCTTCCTCCCACCTGTTGTTAACCCCATTGTCTATAGCATCAAGACCAAGGAGATCCGTCGTGGCATTGTGCGAATGCTGTCAGAGAAAAGACCGAGAGTTTAACCAATAGCCAAAGTACACAGGGAGATTTTTGTTTGTTTGTTTCTTTGTCTTCTACAATTACAGATGGTTCTAGCTTGCTTGCTATGCAATTAATGTTATCTTAAAACATGGTATCTAAAAAGAGGTTCTCCATAGTCTGGGGGTGCAGATTGAGGTGGATTATATGTGACAAAACAACACACAGGATTAATGTTATTTTAAGACATGTTGCATGACATGAGATTTGTCATTACCTTGCAGAAATGCAGAAAAAATTATATATCGAAACATCACACTTCTTGTAAGAAGGAGGCAATTGGGAGTCAGAAGGTTTCCTGAGAAATCTACTGAGCCCTTTGTTTTAGGGAGTGAGGAAGTGAAGTGTATTACATTCTCCTGAGTTACTGGTCTCTGAACTCAGTAGCAGAACACACCAGCTAGTTTAAAGGACACCTCCAGTACAGGCTCTGACATGGCATTCACCCAACCTCACCAAGGCCCTGAGCTGAGAGTCCTGAAGATTACATATATTATTTATTATGCAAAATTCTGAAGTTCTCCAACCCAGAATGGAGAAACTTTGAAAGAGGCAAGCATCCTCTTTGTAGATGTTGATATTGTCTACCTGGTTGTATATTCCTATGTAGACATTTGAGATATTGTAAAGAGTTTACACTTATATTTTCAGGGAGAGCAAATTAAAATTTTTAGAGATGCAAATGTACACCAGGCACATTATATTTATTACGTCAGTCACTCCCCATAACAACCTTATGAAATAGGATTAACCTAATTATTAATTTTCAGATGAAAAACTGGCACTTAGATATAATAAACATCTTGCTCAAACCTGGAATCTAGCTGTGTCAGACTACAGAGTCTGAACTACTAACCCCTAAACTATGTCAACTGAGCAAGAACTAAAGTTCCTTGATCCTGTTAGTCGTCAGTCAGTTAGAACTTACTGAGAACACTCAATGAGTCAGGCCCTAGGGATAAAGCAGTGACAAAGAGACAAAGTTGCTTTTACTCATGGAACTTAAAAATATTTTTTTCTCTCTATATATCCAATCTCTGCTGTACTTTATACTTCCTGGAATGTTGAGAACCAATTTTTAATAGATATTATAACATCTCATATACAAATAACCACACAAAAATAAAGCTTTTGAACATGAGTTTTAAACATTTGAAATGGTTTGCTCCCATTTTGTATTGTAAAGATGCGAATAACTGACAAAGAGTTCTTGTAAAAGTTAATTATGTGACTCGACCTCCAGGTTTCTATGTACCTTGTTTCTGTGAAGTCTAACGTGGGGATCTGCCATTGCCTGTAGCCATCCCTAGATTCATAGCCCACTGACAGATGACAGAGCTCTGCAGAGGATAATGACTTAGAATCCTTAAGGGAAATCAAGCAGATAAACACAGAGGAAAGACTATCCTATAGATGGTCAGAGAAGCGAGAGAATGATTATTCCCTGGGATTAGAAGAAAAGAGAGGCACCTTTAGAGTTTCTGGAGAAAGACATCTCACAGCTAGAGAGGTATAAGAAGAGATGATGGGACCAGGTTGTCGAATGACTGAACATATGGTGAGAATATAGAAACTCAATTCCGTTTTCTCTCTGAAATAACATGATGAATTCTTAGGCTTCTTAAATATGATTATTCCTATATTTAATTCCATAGAAAACATTGAAACTCCAAATGTTGATGCAGCTATAGTTTGTCCTTAGCTGTTTGTCAGACCACGGTCAATTTAATGGATTCCTTTCTATCCCATACTAGAATAAGTTCCTTCACATATGATGCCTGTTCCAGGTCCATTCTTTCCAGTCTTTTTCACTCTATTGTCCTAAAGTTCAGGCTCAGAAACAATGTCAGGATCAGGCAAAATCCTAGAAAATCAAACAGCAATAGAGTCTAGAAATCTCTAGTTGTCTATGAAATTGAATAATAAGCAGAATCCAGTATGACTCACTAAGAAAATATCAGTTTTGGTTCTCTCTCTTTATCCCTTATATTTACTATTCTAAGTTAAAATCTAGACGTTTTGAAACTGTTTTGATCCTTTATCTCCTCAACAGGACAAAATCACCAGTCATTATTTTCAAGGATCTATCAATTCAAAAGTAATAGCTAATAAAATGAGAAGAGCTTATAGCAGTCTCGAAGGACTGAGCACAAGAGGACAATGGTCAAAACCACAAAAAATAAGTAGACAAGTCTATAGTCATAGAGATAGATTTTATTACATCTTTCTTAGTAACTGATATAACAAGTAGGCCAGAAACAAAAATCAGTGGGATTTAAAAGATTTGGAGAACATCATTAAAATTTTTGATCTAATTAACAATTAAAGAACAAAAAAAAAATTACATATGGCACAGTCTTTTGAAGTGCCTATGGAACACCCTCCAAAATTGACCACTGGATCATGGTAATATTTTATTTATTGATCTAGATGACAAAAAAACAATTACATATGGCACATTCTTTTGAAGTGCATATGGAACACCCTCCAAAATTGACCACTGGATCATGGTAATATTTTATTTATTGATCTAGATTGACAGCACAGAACATATTCATTATGTGATAATTATTGAGCTATATACTTAGAAAGTGGGTACTTTTATCTATGAACACTATATGACAATCATAATTATATAAATATTAATATAAGTATTATGTATAATATTAATGTTAAGTATATTAAAGAATAATGAAGTCTGGCATTTTTAAAGTGTAATAATCACCTGCCTGTATGGTTGTGAGGAATTAGTTTCTGCATCTAACTTATCCTCCCCCTGACTTACATGAAATCTCCAACTTTGAGTCGCTTGCACTATCACCCTCTGTTCCTGTGTTTTGAATTCCTCAAACTCATGAAACTTTCTTATTTAGCAGAATTGCATGGCTTCTTGTTCACTTGTTCCTCTGTAGTCCGTTAGGGTCTGTATCTCTTTGCTCTGCAAAATCCATTGTCATTCATCCATATGCATCTTATGTTTCAGTTTTTCAAAATTTCTCACCTGCTATTGTTTACTCACTCATTATCTTTGTCACCATGACTTTATAATTGTATTATTATTAATTCCTGAATAAATTCATGGGTTCAATTTACCTAATTTAAATATTTTGGTTTACATTTTTTTTCTCCTTTTCTGTCTTCCACTAGATTTATTTATTTATTTATTTTTATTTCCCTTGTTGGCTTTGCAGTTATAAACTATACTATTTTTATGGGTAAAATTTTAGCACATGTAGTTTACAAAGTCCAAAGTTATTCAAAATGTCTTTTATCCTCTTTAAGTAAACAAAGAACTTAACATGATTTAAATTACTGTTTAACTTCTTCTCTGCCATTTTTATATAAATAATGATTAATTTTTATCCACATTTTAATAAAATATTATTGGCAAGGTTAGACATTTACACGATTCATATTACAAAATATTTGAGTGTATATATATATATATATATATATATATATATATATACATATATTAAAAATATTCACTTTTAGTCTATACTTTAATTATTTTGGATTCCCTCCCCAAAGCAAAACATATTTTCAATTTATTGTATTTACTTTTGGAAAAACATTTATGCATAAACAAGAAATTATGTGCATTTATACTTTTTATTATATAGTGAAAATTGTGTGCTGTCCTCTAGCTCATTTACATCACCATTTATTTTTACATTTACATAATATTTTATTTTGTGAATTCTGGTACACCTTATATTACCAGAATTTATTAACCAGTTTTCAGTTGATGAATATCTATGTCGTTTCAATTTTTTCTCTTATAAATAATATTGTAGTAAAAAAATCTTGTATATATGTCTGTTTATTTCTAGAGTTAAAATTGCTCAGTAAAGAATTTTGTGTATTCTAATTTTGACAGGTATGATATTGTGGTGTTGTTATTGCCCTCCATTGAAGTCACACATATTTATTTGCCAATTAATATGTTTTAATGTTTTTCTATTTTGCTAATTATGATGAATAAAAAGCTGTGTCTTGAATTGATTACAATTTTTACTTTTTATTATGAGTGACAGTGAACATCTTTTGATATGATCAGAGGATATTTTCATCTCCATTTCTTTGAAATTTGCCTGTCTCTTATGTCTATTTTCTATTAGGTCAATAATCAGCACATTTTTCTGCAAAGGACCAGATAGTAAACACTTTAGGCTTTGTAGGTCATATAGCTTCTTTCACAGTTACTGAGCCTGCCATTGTAGCAAGAATACAGCCGTAGACAACACGTAAATAAATGAGCTTGGCTGTGTTCCAAGAAAATTTTATATACAGGGACACTGAATTTTGAATTTAATATAATTTTCGTGGTCACAAAATATCTTTTTCTTTTTTTTTTTTTTTTTTAAGCACAAAATGTAAAAACAATCCTTACCTTGCAGGCCACACAAATACATATACATTTAATATTCTATTTCTTTAGATAATACCTATTAATTCCTTACTATAAATGATAACAAGTTAGCAGACTTCTCAGTCTACCACCATCTTCTCCATATTACCTTGTTTAAAAACATTGTATTATGGAAATATTCAAATATTCCTAAGTATAAAAAGACGATAACAAGTTAGCAGACTTCTCAGTCTACCACCATCTTCTCCGTATTACCTTGTTTAAAAACATTGTATTATGGAAATATTCAAATATTCCTAAGTATAAAAAGAGAGCAAATGGTGTAATGAACTTCCGTGTACTCCTCACTCTACTTCAACTTCAAAAATTATCAATATTATCAATATTTTAACAATTTTACCAATTTTATCTTCATACTGATATACAGTGTAGTTTATTACCATATTTTTCAACTTTAAATTGTTTTTTGATCCCTAACTATTGAAGGTGGAGTAATCATATACTTAATATTTTTCAAAATCTTTCCCTTCCCAATTGTACTGGTTATTTAACTTCTACATTGTCAGGGTTTATAAATGTATCTTCTCCTCTGTAATCATAATCTCTGTTTTG